TAATATTAACCATTTTTAACTACTAGTAAAGAAAACCAGTTAAAAATAATTTTGAATTTTAACTATTTTTGTTTTTCCATTTTTATATAAACCACCAGATGAAAAGAGGCACGATAAGGCTTTTTTATATCATAAGTTTACTTAGGTTTGTACAATCCTACCCAGGAACGAATAAAATATAGTGAGTTTAAAAACACTCGTAAGCCACCAAATTAAATATATTAAAAGATTTCAAGAGGAATGATGGTAGGAAAGAAATACAATCATTTATTCAGAAGTTCCCTAGGGATTTTCTTCTTAGAAGATTTTAAAATATTGATCCTTTTGCCAGAATATGGTCAGCATACTAAATCAAATGCAGTTGGGACTGTTTGTATGGCATATTTAAGTCTAGGCAAAGTATGCTACTGCTGGCATCTGTTATCATTTTAATAGTTTCTGTAGGTTTGCGCATACAGAGCAGGCTTGGGAGGGCTCACCCAGCTTGTGTCACAAAAGTACAATACTTCGTTAAGTGGTTGTTTACACACTTATCAATCAGCCCATTGTCTTGTGCCAATTAATCACACTACTCCCTAGAAAAGTTTATATTTTAAATTTCACTCATAGGAGAGGCCTAAAAGGATAAACATTAAAGAAAAATGACCAAATCCATTTCTCTACCTCAAAAAATATATATATATTAAGAATGTTTAGTTACATAACAGTGAATTTGTGATTAACTGTACATTTTTCAATGCAGATGACTGTGTGAAGGACAAATATACGAGTACTACTTTATATATGTTTCCTATTATTGAATAGTTTACTACAAATAAAAATCCAGCTAAATATATTGATGCTAAAATAAACTTAAAAATAAAACTTATCTAACAACATTAAAAAAGTAGGATTTTGAGACTTGCTATATATAAACCACAATTTGGGAATCTTAGTCAAAAGCTTATCCGAAATTCCCACACTAAACTAAAGATACAGACTTGCACATAAATTAAGATGGACCAAAGTACACATGCTGTTCCAGTGACAAGTAAATTTGGGAGTACAAATTGCTCCTGCAAGACATGACACTTATCAAAGAAATGTTTTGTAATCTGAAAAAACTAAACAAAAAATAGTTACATCAAAATATAATTTTTTAACTAGCAATAATCGGTATTCAAGTAAAAAAAAGCAGCTCTGAAAGAACAACTTACAGAATACTAAGCACTCACATCACAACACGAAAAAAAAGTTCATCCCAGAAGAGAAAAACTTTGTTATGGCTAGATAACAAACAACTAAGCTGGCAGAATTAGCACAAAAAGAAAAAACTAAACAGTACCCAACCAGTCATTTTAAAAGTATTATTTGGATTTTGAATTTTAACCTTTCCTCTTTTTCTGTTCACTTCTAGAAATCTGCCGTTTCAATGTTACATGTTTTGCCCACACTCTCTGGAAGACTGTGTGTGATTAGCACAGCACTGGCACAAAACATCCTGTCTCGATCGTGTGATGATTCTTCATCGAGGTAGCTGAAGATACAGTTTTAACCCAACAGAATCAAAGTGAGGCAGGCTGAACTTTATAAGCCATTTGCTTACAAAAAGAGATACTGAATCCAGTGTCCACTTTAGTGGTCAGCATGAGTAGCTCCACGACTCAGAGGTGCAGAGTGGCCACATCCCAGAGTGAAGTCAGCCTTAAGAAAAAGGAAGACCTGGGTTTCAACTGTGGCTCTCCCTCTTACTGTGTGACCCAGAGGGAAGTACCTAAGCCGTGTCTCAGTGCTCCCACATGCAAAACGGAGCAATAATATCTAGGGTATGGTGCTATTACAAAGAATAAATGAAATAACATATATAAAGTATGTGCCATGTGATCCAAGTTCTGGTTTTACACCTTGACAAAAATACATAATCAAATATTATATCATCTCTATTTAAAAAATAAAAAAGATACATGATATCTGAATAGATTCACTAGATCCCCATATGCATCTGTTGGAAACAGGTAGAGTTGGTAAGGTGAGGCAGAATGACTACGTATTTCCATAATTTAAGGTCCTCAGATTCAAAGGGGGGAAAAAGCATAGCTGCACCTGTTGACATGCCACTCAGTTCAACTCAACTCAACGTTAGAGGATCCAAAAGAAAAACAGACTAGGCATTTTTCCCACTTTTACTAATTCACTACCTAAAAAGGTTCACAACAAGTTACAGGCAATGCCGAAACCCAAAAAGTTCTTAAAATGAATTTTTTAAATTGTTTCAATATATAAAGTTGGTGGCTAAATCAGTCCCGAACCTAAACTGGCTAGAGGCTCTATAGTCATTCCTCTTCATTGAATGTAAACATTTAGGCATTACAAGTCTCATTATGTGGTGAGGTCCCAAATCCCACTGATGATGTGACATAATACCCGTGGTGTAATGCAGTAGCTTTGGAAAATGTAAAGTATTCCAAGTTCCAAAACACATGTAGCCCAAGACTTCAGACAAGGGGATCTGAACAATCTGTGCTTGAGGAGGAATAAAAGGGGGAGTAGCTGTATAAACAGGTAAACTGTCTACGGTGGGAACCAGTATTGAAGAATCAATGTATTTTCTATCCGTCTTGGATATCACATAATATGGAAATAATAACACTACTTACATCACTCAGTTCTTGGAGAAGCAAGAAATAATACACACAAAATGCTTTAAACAATGCCTGGCACAAAGTAAGTACCAATAAACGCTGTGTAGTGGAAGTGCCTAGAAAAATATGTTGAACATTTACTAGGGAAAGGCAAAAAGGTGACAATATAGCTCAGCTAGTTAGCTGGCTATGTGCCATATTATATTTTGGAATTTTATTTTTAAAAATCCAAGAGTCTTATTTTTCCTAGGCCCAGAGGTCTTTCTACTATCAGGCCTTAGAGGTAGTATTACTGCATCTTGAAGTCAGGTAGCAATCTCAGTGGCCCAAACGAGCATTTGGAACTGAGGGAACATACTAAAATGTCAAGCTCTTAATGCCAAGATACATTATTTGGAAAGAAATGAACAGTGAAGAGCAACCTAGAGGAATGCTTCTGGAATTGACTGTACAAACTAATCGGCCAGGGTTTTTGTTAAAATGCGGATTCTAAGTTATCGTCCTGGGGCCAGGCATTCTGCATTCAAGTTCTCAGGGAGTCAGAATGCTGCTGGGCCACAATGATTGTAGGAAGGCCCCAGAGCAGTGGTCCCCAATGTACACGGGCAACATAAGAATCTTTTGGGGAATTAGAAAAGCAAACCCCAGAGCATAAGGAAACATTGGGAGATTGTCCGTCTATATCAGCTGTTTACATCCAGTTAGACTTTCCCTGAGAATAAAAGTAGAACATGTTTAAAATACTTTAAAAATAAAAAGAGTATACTAGACCATGTTACCTAAATAAGAAAACTGATTTCTCTCTGCAAACAATTACCAAAGCGATAGCCCCCGCAATTACACTTAAAATGTAGGCTTTTACATGCAAAGAAGACTGCTCTGATGATATATAAGCAGACGTGTGTAGAATTCTCAGTGGAACCACTTAAAACTAGTCACAAAATAGATCATTTCCATTTTACCTAGGTAACAAAGATAGGACTCTGTAAAGAAACCAAACCAAGTTTTTTATTTCCTTGTGTTGAGAACGTAACCCAACCACATCATGGTTTAGCCAACTCCTCCAGAGTAATGTTTACACATCGCCTGGCTCATATGTAAATATATGTCAACATTTTGATTTATAGCTATAGGTGATTTGTTTACATGCAGATACACAGACACAAATTATAGTACATTAATGGTCTGAAACACAATATTCCTAACGGACAAAAAAACTTCAGGGTAAACTATAAATATAGAATGTCATGACCAGAGAAAAGATTTCAGTTTTCTGAATGTGAAGCCAATTAGTTGTTAAATAGGTGGTTTTCCCAAAACTTTATAATAAACTGGTGCATTCAGAATGCAGATTCAGTGGTGGTTGTTTTCCAACTTCAAAGTTTGAATTTACAAGTTCACCTCTCAAACAAGTTTACAAGTTCCCCTCTTAAAAATTGAGCATACAACTCTGTCCTTAATCCATTTTTGAAGGAATCCGTTACTAACCTTGTAAAGGACAGTACTTGCTTCAAGATTGGGGGTGGACCCCTCTGATTTTTGCTAGGACCATGCCTTTAACACAGTCAGAAGACACCTCCGACACTCACACCATGGGCAAGGGAGAGCAGAGGCCAGGCTTGCTGCTTAAAAACCCAATGCAGGAAACAGTCTCCTCAACAAAGAATTACCCAGCCTCAAATGCCAGTAATGCCAAGGCAAGGAAACCTTGGTTTAAGCAATGGAGGCTGCAAACACAGAACGAATGTCCAGTGTGGGCATCTGCATTACATTCCTAGCACAGCATGTAGCACAGTGATAGATATTTGTTGATTATTAAATAAACTACCTCTGTGTAGCTGGGACATTAGAGTCATAGAGATTAAAAAGAATGAGAAAGGGATTATTATATATGTAATATCTAAAATTACCAAACAAAATTAGTCATTGTCAGAACCAAAAAAGAATTAAAACATCACCCAGTCGAATTTCCATATTTTTGGAATAATTTTTCCCATATGAAAGACACTATCTAATATACTGATATTATAATGATGGGGGAATCAGTCCTCTTAATAGTAAAAATAAAATATAAAATCTTTATCAATTTATTAAAATATCACTTTTTATTTCTAATAGTCCCATACTTTCTTCAAATTAATAAAGCATTTCCTTTATAAAAAGTAAAACCAATCTGACATAAATCACACATAATAAGTGATATTTCACAAGCGGGAAACGAAACAACATGTAATTATTTTTCAAAAAAGCAAATCACAGACTTCCATGGCCTACAGGCATTTATACTTCTGAGAATTCTGAGATCTAAAATGTCATGAGAAATTCTGAACTGGCTTACATTTTTGAAACAGGAACTGAGAGTCATAAGGCCAAACATACCCTTAATAATCGATTCAGCTGCATACAAATCTCGTTTGTAGGTCACCTAAAGGACAGATAAACCTCATTAGACTTAACAGAGCAGGAAGGAATGTGAAAGCAATAAAATTATGCCTCTGAGGAAATTCTTGATTTTGGAGAATCTATAAACATACAGCACTGACAATTTCTAAATTACAACAACATCAGCAAATTCAGAATAATGTATTCTATTTCTACAAATGGTTGAAGATTTGCTTTTTAAATCTTTAAATAAATTGGGATACTATGTGGCAATCTTTACCAAAATCTTATTCATGTAACTAAAGTATTATCTCAAAGAATATGTGGTACTATTTTAATAAAAGTATTCGCATTATTGTTTAATAGTAAGGTTTTACCTTGAGAGGAAGAAAAGCTAAGTATAACAAAAATCACCAAATCACATTTTTAGCTGAAATGAGGAAATTCTCAAAGATCAACTCACATTAAGAAGGGAGTTCCTTCTGAATTAAGTGTATTTGTATATACCCAGATAAGGTTCACCTTGTGAGGAGTTTATGGCTCTAATAAAAAGAGCCTAGAAGGCACCACCACGTACCTAAGAACAATCAGGATCTTTCCTTAAAAACACACAGCCTCCTTGCAATTATAATCTGTTCTTTGTAAATTAACCTGACATAGTTCTATGGCAGATACTTCCCAGGCTGCATCAGTGAGCTCAGATATGGAACATGTCAGGTGCACTGCACTGCAGAATTAGTTCTATATCACAGGACTGTAAATGTAGTAAATAATGAACTATACTAATAAATACCATAAGGTCCTAGGAGCTCATCATTCAAGAGCTCAGGTGGTTATGATGAGAATGGTCTAAGAACCTACTTTGAGAAATACTCACCAAATTAGTACCTTTCTATGCCTACAATTCAAACTTTTTTCCTCCAAATTATCTCATAACCAGACTTGTACAGAAATTCTGTTCAGGCCAAGTGGCTCAGGGCACTTCCACCCAAAATAGACTGCTGTGCTATGCCTTCATCCTACAGGATAAATCCTAGTCCAAAACTACAATCCATAATTAAAGTATCAGTTCATTTGTAAGACAGATGAGAAGTTGCTCAAGCATTCAACTAATCTGTTTAAATTAAATGTGACATTGCTGCATTATCTCTAAATCAAGCACATGCCAACCAAAACTAGTACTATATCCACAATGTAATTCTATTATCTGGAAAAAACAGAAAACAGACATCTAAAGGTTCATGCTGTGCATTTTACTAAATTAAAGAATGTACTGATCTCATTTATTCATTCAACAAATACTTATGAAATAACTACTGTGTTCTGGGTCCTGTTCTAAGTGCTGGGAACAGAGCAATCAAAATAGGCTACATCTCACTTGTGACGACTACATTTGAGTGGAGAAATTTTCTTCTAAGAATTAAATAAGTTTTTCTTTCTTTGCTTTAAAATCAAGTTAACTAGATATCTGAAATCAAGATTCAATGTTTTCAATTTAAGTGAGAAAATGCTTTTTTTTCTATAATTGTCTGCTGTGTAGGGTAAGCACAGAAATTAATGCAAAGATGGCTAATTACCTTAATTACCATTATTCATTTTTTTTATCCCTTCCTGCTTTTGTTGAGGGACAAGACTGCATACCAACAAAAAACAGAATTGTGAAAGTACCTTTTATTTTTAAAATAAATCTTAATGATGGATTTTTTTAATTTAAAGAAAACTTGGTTTCAAATACGAAAAAGCTTTTCTCTAGCATACTTGCAAGAAAACATTTTTGCAATGGAGTCAGTCTTATGAATAAAATACATGTTTTTATTACCCAAAGTTCCCTTCTCCACTAATATTAAATAATTAACTGCATAAACAAGAAAAACTCCTAAATTTCCTTTTTTTGTCTACTTTTTCTTGTAGGCTGTAGATACCTACTATATGCTGATTAAAGATTTTTTATTTTATTAATATCTTCAACATAAAGCCTATTGAATACCTTAGCTACACTTCTCAAACACTGATTTAATGAAAATAAACTACAAAATATTTCTGATAAACTTGTAAGGTACTGTGTGTTTAAAACAGCATTTTTTTTCCTAAATAAAATATCTAACATACATCAAAGGGAAAAGTATTGGGAAATGTAATTCTGAATTAATAAGTTATTCTTTTTCTGTTGAACTCTTACAGTAATATAGGTTGCCCTTTCCTTATTTTTCATTTCAAAAACAGTTTAATGATCAGTTTTGAAGTTGATTTTCTTCTGTCAGCATGATCTACAGTTTGTCTTTACAAAACACATTATGACAAACAGTTACTTTAAAAAAATATCAACCTTGTAGTGATGGGAGAGAGCCTCAGTCCTCTCTGATTTACTTGTTCTCACACCAGTGCATTAGAGCCTCAGGGGCCACCTGCAGAACAGGGGAGGTGCTCTGTGCAGCTGAGACTCTGAGCCCCACACCTGCCACTCACTTGGCGTAGCTCGAGTTTTGTCTGTGTTGTTTGACTGTGCTTCTGTGCAACATTTCATCAGGGTAAAGTGTGTAGCTAAAGTAAATAGATAGATAGATGAGAGATAGAGATATATACAGCTACGCACAGATACTTTTTTTTCCCAATGGAAGAAAAACCTGAAACTGAGACCCACAGAGATAGTTTTCTTCCTATGCCCAGGCCAGGGCTCTCTCAGGTACCTCAAAGTGAGCACAAAAGAACACAAACACTGTCACCCCTACTTTGTGTTGCGCCAACTGTGTTGACATTCAATATCGTAAATGAGATTTTTCAGGGCCAAGTCCAGTTGGCTACCATCTTACATGAGTTAAGTTACACTATACTCCCATCTTTCACCTCAAGAGAAGACAAATATGTTACTGCAATAATCAGAAGCCAGAAAATCTTAAAATTTAAAAATATAGAATATTTATTAGGTACAAATTGAGACTGGGGGATATTCATTATATTTATTTCCATTACATCAATTACATCTATGTTGAGAATGTTCTTTCCTCTAGACTGAAATTACTAGATGAAAACCTCCAAAACGAAGTAATGCCACCACAATGTATTTTTGAGGTTTAAAATAAATGCAAAAAGTGAGACTGTTTTGTTTCTTTAGTTCTTAGAAAAGATGCTAAAACACTTGGATCTAAATAAAAAAAAGTTCACATGAAAAGTCAGCCATTCCAGTAATACTGTAATGACTCAAATGCTTCAGAAACTCCCTCTAAAGAAGTCTTTTCAGACAATGGGACAGAGCTGAATTTCTTAAATAACTGCTTATAAATCTTTTATAAATCTTTCAAGCCTTGAGGATGGTTTCAGCATTTAGAAATAAGAAGTCTGTTCAATTAGGTCTGTACAGTGTAGTAACTGACCACATATTTAATTATATTGGGACAAAAACATGGTACAACTATAAATTAAAGAAATGGAAGTTCTGGAGGCTGGAGGAAATTCCACTGAAGTCAGTCTGTACTCGTGAAGGCCTCGCAAGGCACTAGCACTCAGAGAAAGCATGAGAGCCAACACCTATTCTGGGGAGTCAGTCCTGTGCTCTCCAGTGGTTGCTTACTCTTTGGGGAGGGGGGTTGGTCATTCATGGGGGTGTCCTCTACTATGCATGGTGATTTGAAAAACCTGATGTTTCCTCCATGTACCAGAGTACCTGCAACAAGAAGGTTGGCATCAACTCTGAATTTTACATTTACTTTTACAAAAAATACTGTATGTAAAATAAAAAATAATAACTCTCCTCGGGTTTCCGGTATCAGAGTAATAGTCCTAGTCATTCCTCATACCACCCTGGGGGTGAACACTCTGACTCTGAGAGGTAGGAGAAGGTGTCCTGGCTCTGAACTTAATGTTTCATGGTAGTGACATGCCTCTTCAGATGTGTTTTTCACTGTGTCAGATTATGAAACATGCTCCAGGTACTTGGCACTGCCACCTGAGTCCAGTACCAGTTTTAGTGTAATTGTACTAAATATTTTCTCAAGTCTTAGTTTTAAAAAACGGTAGAACCATTGGAATTATTTGAGAATTAGAACATTAATGTCAAAGTGTGGATTTCATTGCTTTGGTTTAAAAGCAACTGAGATCATCTTTATCCACATAAAATAAGACCACAAAATTAAATTAGAAGCCTAAGTTAAAGGCAACTCATACAATGTCATCATAAGGCTACATGGGGATAAATAACAGGTGGAAAAATATCAAAAAGATAAAGGTGGAAGGTAATGAAAGATAAGAGGCAGAAGGAAATAAGGAACCAGAAACAACTGCAATATTAGCACTCAAAGCCATTTCACCTCACTTAACAGAATAAATGTGGTACCTAAAAAAGACCTCATAACTATCATGTGGAAGACCTTTTACCCAATTCAGTGCATCACATGCCCTTTTAGAATCCATGATCCTGTTAGGGCACATGATTTTTCCAAAAAAGTTGGAGCTCCCACCCCAGGGCTATTGTGGAAAGCAGAGTCCCATCCTCAAATCCAGTTGAGTGTAAGGCAACAGAGTAAAAGGAAACACACAAAGAACAAGACAAAAATGTGAATAAAGAAATCTTTCTGGCTAAATGAAATTTGTTTAAGTAAATCATGTCAAAGTAAATTTTCTTAAAGCCAAGCAATAGAAATGATACCATACTTTGATGACTCAGAAAATCCAGTAAGACTCTTTGAACTCCCTGCAGACACAGACACAAAGACACACACACACACACACACATGCACCTTTTTCTCCTAGAAATATTATTTCAGTATGAAACCAAGTATTTTTATACCCAGTCTCCATTTTCTAAAGCACCAGGCAGGTGTTTGTACCTGCAGCATGTGTCTTTAGGAATGACATATGCACAGACAAGACCCGAAACAAAGCACCAACGCCATTACCTTCCAGAGGTCAGGTGATCCTTCCACAAGTTTGGCTTTAATGTGACAGTATTTTAGAGTCAACTGCAAACACTCAGTTCCATAATCCAGGTCATAGTCACTACACTAGGCAGGAAAAAAAAAAAGAGTTAACAAGTCAAAATATATTTTAAGTACAACTAGATAATTTATTGCATAATCAACTGCATAGAGGAAAGGAAGAGGGTAGAGAATTTCCAAGCTCTTTAGCTACTGACTAGTCCAGTTTCAGAATAATTTCCCCTATGCCCTAAAAGCCAGTAGAAAATAGGAATTTTGCAATTATAAGAGTCTCAAACTTCCTCAGTCATTTCAGGTGTCATATAAACATAATTTTTAATCTTCTTTGCTCATAAGCTCCCTTTCCAAACATGTTTCTAAAATGCCTGAGGGTATGGCTGAGGATTACCACATCATAACTTGATTTAACAAATATATGTATTCATAAAACTCCAAATCCCCTACCTTATATTTATATCAATTTATATTCGTTGGTTATAGCTCTTATTCACCTGAATATTTTAAATATCAATGTATCCTTTTTAAATGATTTATATTTTGATTTGGAAACTTGACACAGGTTTGTAAAGGTCTCCTATAGATTTAGGAAAATATATATATTTTTAAGCTTATTAAGTGAACCATTAATATTACTGGCATAATATAATTTAGCTGTACAATACCGAGTGCCGATAATATTCTTTGTATTAAGTGTGAGCATATAAATATAAATGAGACATTTATTGTGTCCTCAAGGACTCAGGTCTAGAAGGGGAGACTGATTAATAACAAATATTTGCAACAGAATGTTGCAGAGGAAGCACCAGCAGAGTATCTAGAAGTAGACCAGGAGATAAAATACTTAATGCTAATGTGAGGGCTTTAAGGATGGCCTAGCAGAGGAAATGGTCTCTGATCTCATTTTAAAGACTGAATAAAACTGGAGGAGAGGGATACCTTTAAGGCCAAAGACACCATACAAAGGATACAGAGGATTCAGGTTTGCATTTTATAAAAAGTGCATCCATGTAAGAAAGACAGCAAGAAAATAACAAATTATGACATTCATCATCCTTTGCCAAAGCTGTTTTATCATGGTTAGGAGGTTGCAAAATCCTAACCATAACTGTTCATGAAGAAAATGGACAAGGAAATATAACCATCAAATATATGTAGAGTCCCAAATTGACGAGAACAGCCTCAGGCTTAGTGGAAATGTTCTATTCTGTTAAACTATATCATGTGACATACTTCTTACACATTTTCATTTTTTATCTCACTTGAGAATGTGTTTATTGATGTGAGAGACAGGAGAGAGAGAGACGGAGGGAGAGAGAAACATCGATGTGAAAGGGAAACATCAATGGTTTGCCTCTAGTATGGACCCTGATCGGTGACTGACCCTGCAGCCTTTTGGTGTACAGAACCACACTCCAACCAACTGAACCACCAATCAACTGAGCCACCGGGCCAGGGCGACATTTTCATTTTTAATGTAGTATTACCAGCAGTAGTTACATTCAAGTAAGTTAAGATGAATTTTGGCAAACCTCTACTTTGTACTTTCAGCATCTGCACAGTCTCATCTAGTATGAGAGTGAGATGTATGTACAGTAAACAGAGTTTTCTCTTTAACCCATGGTTAAATCCCAAAGATGATTAGCACTGATGCTTTTCCTGACTCTTCCCGGAGGCAGGATACTGACCACACCTGTGGACACCATAAACGTGCTCACAAGGTGAATACTGAGAGGAGCCCACAGGAACAGCTACTCCTTCCATCCCAGCTGGTGGGGTAAGAATAGTACTTGATGCTGTGCTTCTGTCAGGCATGTGATGTACCAGCCAAGACAGCAACAGCCAGTAGAATGCATAAAATCTTTAGGATTCCAGTCACCAGGGTCAATGGGAAGCATGAAAAATTATGGGCCAGGTATCTATGAAATACATACCGGAAACAGAGGCGAAGTGTTTTTGCAGAAAGAGTAGTCTGAAGTTATCATTCATTGGATGGACTGATATTACAACTATTTATAGAGTTTTTGGTAATGTTTTGGCATTAAAACCTTGCTTTCACGATGAGTTTAAAAAAATGCATGCTTCATGACAAGTTAAATTCTGATCTTCTGTGTTGCAAGAACACTGATGATGATTTCTACTTTTGTCTAGGATATGGAAAGTTGGAAAAAATTATGCTCGTTTCTGAACAAAAGTGGCAGCAGATAAACTACACAAGCACGGCTTTTTCATGACCCCAGAACTGAGGCCACAAGATAATCAGCCTTAAATCTAAAAAAGGCACTTTGCCCCAAGGACAGAGAGGATGCTAGCACTGGCTCGCCTAGGGCAGAACACAAAAGGAAGACACTGGGTGCCATACAGGCAGATAAGAAGAAATCGGCTAGAAACATCAACAAATTGCTAAATACTGAGTGGACACAACTAGGAGAACACAAAACCTCTGGGGGCCAGTCACACTGGAGTTTACAACCCTTTGCAGGTTCCTCTTAAATATCCCGCTACTGGGAGCTCATAAAGAGGCATAATATTAATTTAAAGGTGACTGTGATTAGATGCATACTCTAAACTCAAGGCAATCACTAGTCAGACATTTTAAAGTTAAAAATAAGAAGTCAATAGTGATAAGATGGAATTATAAAAAATCAGATTATTAATACAAAGGCAAAAAGAAAAAAGAGGAAAAGAACAGATGGAACAAATAGAAAATACCCAGCAAGATGGTATATTTTAATCAAGAAAGGTAATGGATCTGTAATTGCACAAAATGTCAACATTTATTATCCAGCCTGGGAGTCACAGTGATATCACTGATCACATGAAGTACACACACACACACACCACACCCCCCCACACACACCACACACCCCCCCACACACTGAGAACACTGGGCCTCCCTAAACCCGGACCCCAAAATAGTGTAGAACAACGTTCTTCCCAGACAGAACCCCTGAGGACTATTGTCGGAGGTCCCCCAATTCACAGTCCATCCCAGTGGTGTTATATAGTGAAGCTCACAGGCAACAAACCTCTTCTTCAAACCTACCAAGTCCAACCGCCTCCAGCAGGCAAACATGAGCAGAAAGCCCAGATTTAACTGAAACCCAAGGAAAAAATTCAAACATGAAAGATAAGTTAAAAAGGCAAAAAATACAGTATTTTGGAGAAACTAGAAATTATGCAGTTAAAAAACAACAACAATAAGCCCAGAATGAAAAAGTATTTATACTCATAAAAAGACAGGATAATATTTAAAAGGGTGGCAAACTAAAAAATAGGAGAGAAAAGAATAATTGATGGCAACCACGAAGTCCAATATATTAAAAGAAAAAAAAAGAAAGAAAATAAAAAGAAGAAGAAAGAAAACAGAACAGAAAAGGGTAGGACACGGGAACGACCAAATAATTTTTTAAAAACTGCAGTAATGAAGAACATGAGTTTCCAAATTAAAAATTCTTATGAAATAAAGAAGCTAATAGATGAAAGTACAATTAGCAGCAACAACAAAAGGTCTTCTAAAGAAGCAGAAAGCCAACTTAGTACAGCCTTCTTAATAGCAACAATAAAAATCGGAAAAACAATGGAACAGTTTCTTCATAATTTCTAAGGTAATGATTGTCAACGTAAAACTATACTCCCAGAAAAGCTATATATCATTTTTTGAGGACAGAATATGGATTTTACAAACATTGGAGGTCTCAACAGAATTTAAATTTCTGTGGGCTCATTTTTATTTCAAGTTATGTAACAGACTTTGGGGAGCAGTTTAGGTTCATAGCATAATTGGGCAGAAGGTACAGATATTTCCCATATACCCCCTACCGCGACATATTCACAGCCTCCCCACTATAAAACCCTACACCAGAGTAGTACATTTATTAGTCGATGAACATACACCAGTAAATCATTATCACCCAAAGCCCACAGTTTACATTAGAGTTCACTCCTAGTGTTTCACATCCTATGAGTTGTCACAAATGTATAATAATATATATCCATCACTCTGGTATCACACAGACCATTTCCACTGTTTAAAAATCCTCTGAGCTCCTCCTAATCATTCTCTGTCCTGCCCTCAACCCTTGGCAACCACTGAACTTCTTCCTATCTCCCTAGTTTTGCCTCTTCCAGAAGTCATATACTTGAAATCATACAATAACCCGTGCAGATTGGCTTCTTTTACTTAGCGTAATGCATTTAAGATTCCTGCATGTCTTTTGTGTCTTGATAGACCAATTTTTAGCACTGGATAATATCCCACTGTCTGAATGTACCACCGTTCACGTATGCATTCACATATTGAGGGGCATTTTGGTTGCTTCCAAGGGTTAGAGATTATGAAAACACTAGTATGAACATTCGTGTGTAAGTTTTTGTATAGACATAAGTGTTCAACTTATTTGAGCAAATACGAAGGGTTGCATGCAATTGCTGGATCATTCAGTAAGTGTGTGTTTACTCTCATAAGAAACTGTCCAACTCTGTTCCCAAGTGGATGTGACATTTTGCTTTTCCACCAGCAATGAATGAGAGTTCCTGTTACTTTTCATCCTTACCACCATTAGGTGTCGGTGTTTTGGACTTTGGCCATTCTAATAGATGTGTAGTGATAACTCATGTTTGTTATAATTTATACTTTCCTGATGACATATGATGTGGAACACATTCTTAAATGCTTATTTGCCATCTGTATGTCTTTTTCAGTGTGATCTTTTCCACTTAGGTCTTTTAACTTTTTATTAAAATTCAGTTGTTCATTTTCATATTGTTGAGTTTAAAAGGTCTTTGTATATTTTGGATAACAGTCTTTTATCACATATGTCTTTTGCAAATATGTTCTTCCAATTTGTGTATTCTCATTCTTTTCAAAGATTATTTTGCAGAGCAGAAGTTTTTAACTTTAAAAAAATCCAGCTTACCAATCCTTTCATAAATCGTGCCCTTTGGCACTGTATCTAAAAAGTTTTCACCATACCCAAGGTGTCTAGGTTTTCTCCTACGTTATCTTCTAGGAGTTTTATAGTTTTATGATTTACATTTAGGTTACATTTTTAGTTCATTTTTGTGAA